TAAAAATGTTTTTTGTTAAGCTTTACTATTTTATAATGGGAAGCAAGCAGTTTTTGTATGATATTGAACTTCACAGAATGTCTTTCCTTGCTCATGAAAAAATAAAATAATTGCAGTGCTATACCAAAATATCTTAATATGTTACCGACTTAAACTGACATTTTATTTTCTCTATTTTCTTGGACCTTCCAGGCGCATACACAATAATGATCAACAATGTGATGGCGAATTCTAAAATTTCATCAAACCTTAAGATGAATGTTCTAAAAAGTTTTATAATTTATCACATCAATACACTAAGCAGTCATGAACATGCATTATGAAAATATAATTTTGATTTAGAGAATCACATTTTTTGCAGTGAGAGCTTGAGCATCTGGTGTTCTTACTTTCATATATTTTTTTCAAGGTCATCACTGCCTTTAGCATTTGCTGATACTGCCACAAAATTAAATACAAAATGTTAATGTCATAGACTAATTTTAAATGTTCACACATATTTCATTAAGTTCACTTTACGACCCTCTCACATCATGGGAAATTAATTAGGAAAATCCTCTTTAATAATGTTTTTAATGAAGTTTTAAAAGTTGGTGAATCATGTGGTTTCACATGTTTTTTTTCTTTTTTCAAGAGAACAATAAAATTATGTAATAAAAGTAAATACAGCACAAGTAAAAACATAGAACAGGAAAAACACCAACTGATTCCTTTGAAAATGATTAGAGATACATTTTTCATACCAAATGAAATAACTTTTCACAAACACGAAGAATATAACCAATATCAAAAGGTACAACATATCACCTACAAGGTTAAAACTCTTCGAAATCATAGATGCAAGTGAACCTTTAGAAGCAATAAAAAATACACCTCATTTTCTGGAATGTATATAATACATTAACACTGACAAAACTTTAATGTTATGGAAATCCTCAGAGGAAGGGATATACATTGGTCCTGGTTTAGTGGAATTTTACAAAGATGATGATGTGCAAATGAAAGTTTTACAATTGTCAGAAAGACAAAACAATTAAACGGAACATTATACATAAAAGCAGTTTCAGTACTCTGCAGGGTAAAAAATAAAAGACCACTCTCAGTAAAATTTTGCACCACTTTATTTGATCATTTCTAAATATCATACAATATATTTATACAGCACATTAATGAGTGGACTTCCATGAAACTTGTAAGATCTCTTCAATTGGCATACAACTGCATGGCAGACTGCAGGTGAACCATACGTCGAGGCAGGGGAGTGCTGAGTCCCATGTCCCCTATGCAACTCAAGTGCAAACAAAATAGCCAATAACCAATGCAAACTTACAAATATTATTGGAAGGAATTTTAGTAGCTTACATTTCAAGCATTAAAAAAATTGAATATAAAATATAATACAATATTCTAGAGTAACATATAAATATTACGTACAGGCAATCTAGAAAGCAAATCCTACATAGGTTATAGAAGTGCCTAAAACCTGGACAAGCTCAGCACCACCTTGGCTCAACATCATGGTTGCAGAGCAAGAAGTAGAAAAAAACAAAAACAAAACAAAATAAAAAAAATAAATAAAAAACAAAAAACAAAAAGAACTTAATCAGCTCATACAGATGGAAGGAAGGTTCAAAACAGGTAGTCACATGGAAGTGTTAGCTACCTATCTCCTGCTTTTCAAAGCTTAAAAAGCATAGTAATTATCTTAGTAAGAATGGAAACATGAAATGCAAGTGAGGCGCTCCTGGCATGATAATGACGGCTGTTACCTAACTGGTAGTTAGCATAAGCAATGGAGTATTCAACAAACCAGTGGGGGACAGATACATGGATTACTGGTAAAGATTGAAGCAGGATAAAGGTAATTCACCTATAAATGTCAGTTGACAGAGATGATGCTACATGATAATATTACGTTTATCACTACAATCAACAAGGCCATACACATTTGACTGGTAAAATGTCTCTTCATTTGATGTACATCATTCTTATTCACCAGTTTTAGTGTCATATGAGAATTTTTGATGTATGAAAATTCCCTTTCATGCCTTAAAGTTCTGATATAAAGATACAGCTCTTTAAAACTTCTTACCTATAATATTACTCAGCAACCAATTGTGAAGATCTGATAACAGTCTGTCCTCCCTCTACTACAATCTTACTTCTTGTATCTATCAAGAAGGAAAAACCAAGAATTTATCCTCCTTTTACACTCATCTTTCTTGAACTCTTTCAGAGTAGATGGCACCTAACTGCCAGATATTTGCATTCCATTCTTGAAGATAAAGCAGATGAATTTACTTCTCAAAATACATGGCTTTTGCTCACTTTATATGTTCACCTAATTTCTTTGAAAAAAAGAAAAATTTAACACTAAAAAAAAGAAAAGATAAAAAAATATCCCTTCCTTCGATAGTCTGGATCAACATTATGTTGGTTAAAAATAAAACAGAACTTCTGCAGTAATCCATCACACTTTCTCTACATGTGAATAAATCTCTAGAAACTTACATACTGCACATGAGACGTGCAGTAGCACCAAATTCCATCACAATAATAATCTTGGTCTTTGCTTCAGTCCTTTACATTGCTATACACATGCAGGCTAACTAAAGGAAGCCTCCTGCTTTAAAATGAACCATTGATACCACCTTACGAGGAAAGTCTGGGTGGAGTTATTTGAAGGTCTTCCTGACCACAGTCACTGGTCACTTGGCATAAGCACGCTGTAGGCATTTCACACTATGTGCATGTATAACCTTCAGTGTTTAGCTGGAAGACCATTCAGCATTTGCTTAGCCTTCTTGTGAATCACTGTGGCTAGCCTTGTATATCCCTCATACTCTAGTGCAGTTCCCATCACAGGACCCACCACTATTTCATCGCTGTACAACTCTCACTGTACATATTATAATACAACATATACACTGTTTATCCCTTGTTCAATCTACAACCACTGAACAGAGAGGAGTGTTTCAACATGATTGATCAATTCACCTAAAAGATACATTTGTTCTCATACGTCATGGAACAGTAATATAATAAAAAAAAAGGATCACTATAGTAAACAATACATCTAGTCATATCTAAAAAGAACAGAATGGATGACTGAGGTACAAAATCAAATTATTTCTGATGCAAACAAACATTAGAAATTTCCATTTTCATCCCTTCTATTTGATGACTAGTTTGAAACTCGTCAACTAGCACTGGAAACACTGCTGCCCCTTGTCAGCTGTAAATCACTTGTAAAGTTCTTCAAATGGACAATAGTAAGACCCATGTCATTCAATGGATGAGACACAAAATATTCTACGGTTAACTTCTGCTGGACTGCCAGGACCATGTTGCTTCCACTGCCGTTGCTGAGCTCATCTCCATATGTGGGAGTACAAAATTAGAGGATCACAGATGCAGGTTCCTGTCCCTGAGAGGGAACTTGGAATGTTGGCCACACCTACTGCTGTTGCCACTGTACCCATGAGGCACTTGTGGCAGGTGGCTGTTGTGAGGGTTGTTGCTGTAATGGCATGTTACTGCCGCTACTGCTGGTACTACTAGTACTAGGGGGAGTTCCAGAAACATCATCTACTTGGGACACAGCCACTATTGAGCCATCGGACAGCTTCTGATACGGGTAGGGGAATGTATGAAATGTGGGAAATATGTGGCCATGAAAAGGTGCAGTAGCATATCCCACTGTGGGATAAACTGGTCTCTGCCCTGGATGTTGTAATGATGCTGTGGCTTTCTGCTGGGCCATCATCTGGTTGAGTGTCATCTTGCCTTGAGATGGCCGCTGCGCCTGTCGAGGGCCGCTCAGGTTCTGAACCAACTCTAACATATCCTCTGAGATTGTACGCCCCTTCTTTCCTGACGTTGTGCCACTACTGGAGGTATCCACAGAATGATCGGATGCAATGGCTGCATCACCATTAGCACCAACTGGGATATCACATTTCTCTGACTGCTTTGAGTCTGACTGGGAGTGTGGCGACGTTGGAGTCGTGCCTGGGGTGGGGGGACCCGGGGATGAAGCCAGGCGTAGAGACTGAGGTCGTCTACTGTTCTGGCTTCGTTGTAGACGCTGGACTTTGTAGGCTTCCCGTTCTTGTTGGTGGCGACGTCTGAGTTCAGCTTCCTCGTGTTCTTGCCTAGTGATTAAGTAGAAAGATATGTCTGTAGAACATTGTTACCGGCTAAAAGGACAACATTAACATATCTGAGAAAAGCTTATGAATAGTGAAAAGAAAGAAGAAAGAAAAAGAAAGAAGCAGTTTATTTCATACTGTCAGTGATATCAAATGAACACTAAATCATAAGGAAAGAGAACTTGTATTTATTTACTTGTAAAGAAGCTGCTGAAAACTGTCATCATCTTCTGAGAAATCTTCCAGATCATGCCTCACCGTTTCCAGTTCTTCGTCCTCCTATCAAGTAAATTTACACTTTATAGTCACAATAAATAATAATCTGCAACAGAATGTGATTAGTGTAGGTATGAATGAGACTTTTCAAACCTACAGAAGTGGACGTGCATGTCTTCATGGTGAAGAGTGAAGTCTTCTTTTAAGAATACTTAGCAACCCCCTCTCCATACCATATGTAGTTCAATGTTTGTACATTTTACATGAAAGGAAACTTCTTAAAAGGATGTGTAGATAAAACTAATCTAAGAAAAGAATGACTAGCCTACTTGGAAAATCATAGACATGTCAGTCTTGAAAACACAAAATGACCCTTTTATTTCATTTCTTGATACATATGCCTTTGAGATATGTAACCTTGCATCTTGTCTACAGCAATAAAACACCACCAAGAAATTGCTAGTTACATTACTGAAAAGGGTATCTTTAACACACTAAACAGTAACACAGTGTTGGTGTTTCTACGGTCTTATCAGGCAAATAACAAGTGCCACAAAAAGATTATTTCTTATATATATCCTGGCCTGGATCTACTTGCAATATCAAAGTATCTTTATGATGACACATTTTCTA